TCCTTTCCTTTCCTTTCCTTTCCTTTCCTTTCCTTTTCCTTTTCACTTGAAATTCATTCTCATTTTATTTGTTTTTTATTTACTTGCCTAGAACATTCGAAGACTCGTGTCTCGATAAATATTCCCCGATATTCACTTCGCTTTCGGCGAATAATTACTAAATATATATGATCACCGGGATTATCCTTACACATTGAATTAAATATATACACCATATAATTATATGCTGATGGGAGAGGAAAAAAACTTTTGTACAAAAGCTGTAGGCCAGAGTGTACCATGCTCCCTATATAAGAAGGACTATAGTGTTGTGAAAGTTGAATTGGTTACGTTGTTGCCGGCAAAGTATCTGAAAGATGTTGTCTAGCTTCGGTACACCACATGTTGAAAAAAATTGTAACGAAGCTATAGACCCAAATGCATCGTGATCCCTATCTCAAATAGGTCTGATGGTGTAACTACTAAGTGATCCGAGAGATGCTTGAGAGTTTGATATCGTATCACTCTGAGTTATTGTATTATCGTCTTTCTCATTAGCCATTTTTGGTGACCTAAAGAAGAAAAAATAGAAGTAAAAGGTGTAAAAAAAATTTTTTTTAATGTTTGAAAAACTTTCCATGGATCCTCTTAACTTTGGGCGTAACATTTTCCCATTTCAGATTAAGTGGCATTCTCTCGAGAATTATCAACTAAGCATGCTTTATTTGAGTTGTATCCATTTCCATGTGTCCTCTCATGCACAACCGTTAAACAAAGAAATAATGCTCTAGGGAATGACACGTTTTCTGAAATAGTAAAACATTTTGCTCAAGGTAAGGGGTCTATAACTATAAGTGGCAAAGGAAAAAAAGGATAACAAAGTAATAATACTCAAGAGAATGACTTGGTAACTGGGGTCTATCAGTAGCAAGGGAAACAAAGGATAACAAGGAAATAATACTCAAGAGAATGACTTGGTAACTGGGGTCTATCAGTAGCAAGGGAAACAAAGGATAATAAAATTCTAAAATCTGGGAATACGGGTTTTAAACTAGTTTAGAAGCTGTCCTTACCGTTCTCTGCAAATGTTTCTGGTCTTCTCCTTTAGAAAATGAAATCTCTGCCTCCCTACTCGATGCCAATAGATCTCGGTGGCAAGGGTTACGAAAGAAACTAAAAAACCTGCTGCTAGAACGATAAACACTCCTGCTAAGCTGTACAGTTCGATTGACTTCTGCTTTAGCCCTGTGGAATCCAATGATATATGTGTATAAAAAATCAAATATCGGCATAACTTAGGCAATCCACTGTTTCCCCATTTCAGGCCACATGTCATTCCCCACATGAATGGATGCTTTGCACCATCACGTCATGGCAGCCATGACAGGAGGCACAACAACAGATTCTTTTTCCCCACGAAACTGAATTCTTTCTCATGTACATCAGTAAATCAAATCACATACGACACCGAGCGAATCCTTGTCGCATGGGTGAGAAGCGACGTATTTGCTGCGGACGCCATCCGTGCTTCCCCTAAAGATCCATGGCAAGTGTCTAAGTAGATATCGGCCATGGAATTGCTACAAAATGACGTACATAAGATTAACAGCCACCAGGATGGCCGAGTGGTTAAGGCGTTGGACTTAAGTTCCAATGTACGAATGTACGCGTGGGTTCGAACCCCACTCCTGGTAGAATCGTTTTTTTTATGACGCGATGCACAAACATTACTTTTTTTCATTATTCTCATCATCACGATTATTAACTATTATCATTATTAACTTAAGCAATGCAACAACAAATGGGTGAATGTAGCTCGAAGGAAGCGCAATACCAAGTTTCTAGTTTAGAGGCCTTGTCTCTGCCTCACCTGGCATTTTGGCTTTTTCGAATGCTTAGAATTCCATTGTCTTACTGAATCCTCGAAAGTAAAACGTTCATTCGGTTTTTATGTATGAAGTATTTTAATAATTAGGTAGACTTAATTGCAGGCATTCCTGGTTGGTGACGGGAGGAATGGGACGGAGGAACAATTGGGACAAATCTCTATAGTCCCTTTTCTCATTCCCTAAATACGGCTGTGTTTTAAGATTGAAGACTCATCTCCGCAGGCTTAGCCTCGCTTAATAGTAAATCATTTGCAAATGCTAGCTTTAATGTAAAGAATGTGCAGCTTGAACAATACCAATGCTTTGAAATCCCACGTACTATTCATGGTATCTGTGAATAGCTGACTGATAAACGAGGCTAAGCCTGTGCAAATGAGTCTTCGAGAGTCTGTAGTCTTCAAAAACAGCGGTATGCATTGAATGTGAAACTGGTGTATTCCCAAGGAATCCTAAGGACAACTAGCCAGGAAAGCCTGCAATGCTGTCTATTAATATGATAAATAGAGTTTTAGAGAACTTACGGTTGGTGTTGATATCTGGACATTCATTTGTACCTTCCCAGTACTTGTATCGTAACTTCTCGATAAACCCGCTTTCACGGAGACGCAATATGGCGAGAGATATCTCTTGAAGGTGAGGGTCTTCATGTCTGAGAGCAAACGCATAGCTGCGAGGAGATTGAAGACCTGGAACTGAACAAACAATTATAGTATTGGAAAAATAGATCTAATCCATTGTTCTCCCATTTTAGACCATGCACGTGTCATTTCCTAGAGTATTATTTCTTTGTTTAATATGAAACGAAGAATTGTGGTGGAAACAAAGCCTGCAGCAAAACACAGACAAGGCTTCGCTGATAAAAAAAGGCAGTAAACGACCTTGCCCCTTTTGCGAAACATCGCATTACGATTCATTGGAAAGCAATCATTTGATTCATTCTAACTTTTTTGACATCGACGTCGTAGCCACCATCTTGGATCAATTTAACAAAAGACTCGTCAATGAATTCTTTTGTTATATCAACCAACATAGCTACCGTATCTTATGTTCGAATCAGGGACTGAAATCCTGTAAACAGTTAGACAGCGGCGTGGTATTAGAAATCCGAGGCTGGCAACTGTTATTAGAAGAGCTACCAGGATGGCCGAGTGGTTAAGGCGTTGGACTTAAGTTCCAATGTACGAATGTACGCGTGGGTTCGAACCCCACTCCTGGTAGGAATGTTTATTTTTTATGAAGCGATGTACAAACATTTTTCTTTTCCTCCTCCTCCTCCTCCCCCTCCTCCTCCTCCTCAGACTCACATGTAAACAAGTCGCATGGCTGCTTCTGTGCTACATACTCCAGTACCGGACCGTCAAGAATATGTATGTAGGGACTGCCACTTCTCATCCATTCGATCGATTCTGAATCATTCTTGGGTAGACGCTTCATTTTGTTCCAAGCTCTTCTGTATATCTCATAATCAGCAGAGAGAAACAAAGAGTGTAGATTGGACTTCTCGAGTACACCAAGGTCGTAATTCGAATCAACTGCCTCCTCAAAGTTGGTGACTGGTTTGATGAAGATGTCGACAGTGAAGAAAGCCACTAAGTTCGCAGTGTAAGTTGATAACCACACAAGGATAGAAAACCAGAAGAAACCAGCCAAAATACGGCCTGAATTACATAACGAAAAGAAAAAGAATAGAGGTTTTGCACCATCACGTGCCAACGCTCATGCTACAGCTTGGGCTGCCTGTTGTTAGAAAGCAGAACCGATAAAATCCCTTTGCACGTGATGGTGCAAAACCTCTATTACTGATATATTAGAAAACAAATAAACTGTTGCCAATCAGCTGTAAGCACTCTTTTCGCTAATCCAAGCTGTTCTTCATAAATTTTCGGTTTCAAACGTATGGAAACTAACGCTTTGGACGACTTCGATTAACTACTGAGGAGAAAGCATAGCACACTTCCATGAAGTACTGTTAGGCTCAGGTCTAACGTCGAACTTCACATGAGCCGAACTTAATAACATCAAAGAAGACTGCCTTGTTATCCATTGTTTCAATTTGGTTCGGCTCATATGAAGTTTGACGTTTGACCTGAGCCTTATAGTGTTTGTCATAATACCCAGGGTTCGGCTATTTTTGACTGCCTTTAATTAGTATTTTAATTAATGTCTTGAAGATTCGCAGCACAATGCAACTAACAAATGGAATAAATATCCAAATTTGTACTCAAATACCCACTGTTTGAAGTCAAGACAAAATACTGAAAAATGGTGAGCTTAATAGAGTCTTACCCGAGGTAGATTTGGGCGCGTGATCAGTGCCTTGCAGAAGCATGCTTCCAGCTGTAAACCAAAAGGAGTTGATCAAGTTCAACTCCTCCGACGTCTTGCTGCCATGTTCGTTTTTGTAGCCATAAGGACTGAAATAATTCAAAATATATACCGCCAAAGAAACGGCCACAAACGAAGCAGCCACCACCGTCCAGACATTTGTAGTGTAGGGCGCCATAAATTGGAAGAACTCCCTCTCTGCGACGACAGTCTTCTTCATCATCATATCGTCTGTGTAGTACATAAAGCTGGCTGTCAGGGCAACGTACTTCTGGCGTTCCACATTTTTTGATAAAGGAGCTACAATCATTTCTGCTTTCTGAAAACCAAAATGAGGTCTATAAGTTATGAAGTCAACAAGTTCCAAAAACTTTGGAATTGAAATGGAAACCTTTTATGAACATGATCGTTTTTGGTTGGCATGGGTGGTGTAGGGGTCTCTATTTACCGCTCGCCTCTCACCGATACTGCCCTACTTTGAGCCCCAGCTCAGACTGTGTGTTGAATTTGTTTGATGCGTTGTTCTCTCCCTTGCCACGAGGGTTTTCTTCGGGTTCTCCGATTGCCTTCTTCCGTAAAATTCAACATGTGAGTTGAGTGTTGTATGTCGTAAATATAGAATGTAGTGGTAGTGAGTGTGAAACCTCGCGGAAGAGTCCCATCGACGGGAAATAGTGTTTGTAATAATATTTTTAGTTTTCGCAGTCGCCGGGTGCCATTGTGCCCACACATGCACGCTATTAAGAGAAACAGTCATAACTTACCCTATCGATTAGTTCTCCGATCATTCCATTCCATGTACCGTTAATCAGTGCACCGTAATATCCATCATCAACCAACTTTATATGGTAAGTGAACTTTAGGTCAGATGCAAGTTTTTTTAATATGTCGATACAGAAGCCATGGTAGGTGACCGTCCCTTCTGACGATACGCGCCTCATCACAAATGGGTCTGTCTACATACGTCAAAAATGAAAACGGAACAATAGTCCCTTTATGCCATTACCTGCGCCATCTTGAAAGGCAGCCGTGCCTTTGCTTCGAAGCGAGACGAACGGTGAGCTTAAAATGTAAATAATTGTTCAAGGTGTTAAAAAAAGTCTCTATCATTGCAAGCTCACCGTTCGTCTTGCTTCGATGAAAAGACACGGTTACCTTTCAAGATGGCGCAGGGAACTGTAAAACGGACTATTTAAAGCTACTTGCATGTAGCTTGAAAAGGATGTGACGTCAAAGGAGCTCAATTCGGAGGACAAAACAAAAGAATTTCAATATCCTTGGAATTGGAATCCTATCGGTTTTGCCCTTCAAATTGAGCTGCATTTCGACGTGCAATGCTTTTCCAAAACACTCCACACGTACACTAAACCACATACATGCCATTAGACCATGTTTCCTCGTTATCAGATGGAGGTAATACTTGTGTTCTTGCAAAGCTTTATATAATTTGCACCAGTGCAGTTTATTTTCCAGGTATACTTACCACTGCAGTTACGACAGATATCTCTCTTCCCTTTAGCAAAGAACCATCCAGAGATTTATCATTAAAGTGGATTCTGTCCATTATTTCTAGGATATTTCCAGCTTTTGTCCATTTACCAATCTGACATAATTAGAATATTTTGAGTATCAATAACGCTACCAAGTTTTTCCAACCATCGAACGATTATTATCGTTCCTGTTATCATTATTGGCATCATCAACAACATCATTATTATATCATCGCCATTATCATATCGGCTCCATCACTGATCATTGGCATTATCCATGGGATCTCGGGGAACGCGAGAATAGGATTGTCGTAGTTGATCAGGCGGTCCTAGTTTCAGTTGTTTATCGGCGAACAAAGAGCTATCATTTCACGATAATTCCATAAAAGAATTGAAGCCACAACGAACCATTTGACCCATAGGTATTCGTTATAAGAGTAGGTAGAATTTTAAATGTATTGCTAGTCCATAACCTAGCTAGGGAAGCAATAATTCAGAGTAATTTTTTCTGACTTCGGTCGCCATGTTTTTTTCAATGAACCGCGTGATCAGATTTCTTCCTGCGCGATGATTGTAATTGGCTAGTTTTTGATGGGCTGTCAGAACGAGATGACCTGGATTGTCTTACCTCTGTAAAGGTGTTGTTAATAAGGTTCAGGATTCGAAGTTCGTTGAGCACCCGACGACCTTTGGTGTCAAACCGGACGGGGGACACGAGACCATTTTTATTTACTTGCATCTGTAGAGAAATTGATCATATTCCTTAGTATTTATCAACATCTTAGTCATTAATAAACCTTTTCGGTTTTGGCGCAGGCTTGGGCGTAATGCTTTTCGATTTTAGACCATGTGTCACTAATAATGATTATCATGAGAATAAGATTCGTTGTTTGAGTTGTATCCTCATTCTCATGCACAACCGTTAACTCTATGGAATAACGAGATGTCTGAAATGGAATAATAAAGAGGAATATTATCACTAGGCTTTTAATGGGTTATCATCATCATCGACAGTTTGTTGAATTATAATTTCTTCATCGTGATATCATCACGGCATCATATGGTACATTATCGTTATTTTTATCATCATCATCATCATATCATTACCATTATCATCGTCATCATCGTCATCATCGTCATCGTCATCGTCCTTATCATCTTCATCATCATCATCACCATCATCACCACCATCATCACCACTATCATCGTCGTCATCCTCATCACCATCATGATCATGGTCATATTAGTTATTAACGTCATAATTATACAGCTTCTCATTAATCCCATATAGGTAGCTGTCCAATTATTTTCTTAATTGGACAGGTCTTGTTGATATGGGATTAAATAATCAGCTATATACGTAATAGGTAATGGGATTTCATGCTCCCCAATCAAGAAATAATTAGACTCGAAAAATTCTTCTGACTGCCAAATTGGACTCGGCCTACGGCCTCATCCTATTTTGGAAGTCCTCGGAATTTTCCTCGTCCAATTATTTCTCAATATGACAGCATGGAGTCCTATTACATATACTTATTGTTATCTTTATTATTATTTCCATCAATTGCATCGTGCAGTTCATAACTTTGGGATGCCAACATTGACATTATTATCTTCATCACCATAGTTTTACTGATATCATCTCATACCTGTTTTGCATATCTATAAAATGTCTCTCTGWTGGATGACAAGGTAGCACTGTCGTTGCCTGTCAACCACATTCCATTGTCGTGAAGATTTTTTAACGTCATGGCAACCAATAAAATAGCATCATACACAAGATCAAAATTATCCTGTGTAAGAAACAAAAAGGAATGGTGCCATTTTTACATGTAATAGAATTGTAACATCTAATTGGTTAAATGCCAGTGTGTTCTTTTATATGGGGTTAGCCTAACGTTCACAAATACCAACGGTAAAGTAAAGAATGCACAACTTCAATAATACAAACACTTTGAAATTCCACGGACCTTGACTGGAATGCATGAATATCTCTTCACAAAACCTAACAAGCTAAATTCCACATGGTCAGGAAACAAGTGTCAATTGAGGCATGCAATGAAGGATAATCATTGTAAATAATAATGTTAAATATAGCTTGTGTTAAATAATTTTCTCTACGAAAAGTACATACCCGTTTACTGTTCCATTTGGCGCTGACATTAGTTGTAAGCCCAAACCCAACAACCATATGAGAGCTTTCTGCAGTAAGTACGTCCTGCAAAACCTGACGCGGGAAATATATGATCAATAGACCGTTTTCTCAAGGTTGCGTACGCATCCAAATTTAAGGGACTTGACGGGCCACGATACTAGAACACGAGCTTTACGATGAGTATTATCATGCATTGCTATGATTTTTTTGATAAAAATTCATAAAATCGATTATTTTCCTTCTAAACATAAGACTGGCTTCTCAATTTTACTAAAATTGCGTTTTTCAGTTTTGTCGTGGTCCTTCAAGATTGGATGCGCACGCAACGTTAAGAAAACTGTCTATATTACAGCTCTGTTGCCAGTTGCATGTTTGCGACTTCGTAAGCAAAACTCGAAATTACAAAGTGCATCCGTAAGGGTTAAACCAGGTCGTGACAATTTATTATGTATGAAGGCCGAGTCTCGTCAAAAAAGTTTTACACGATATATATATAAATGTGAAAGCAGGCAGTGATGATGAAATTAATTATTTTGTTGCACGTAAACATTGCAATGGCATAACGCTCTCAGCAAATGAAGAGTCCAGAACATTGTCAGTAATGTTTAAGTAATCTACACCTTGAAAAACATATGGTTGTATAAATGTCACGAAAAGACATACCAAATCTTGTATTATCCAGACATAGGTCTTACTGGGGTTGCAGCGATCCTATGAATATAAAAACAAAGTCAGAATTGTAGTAGTGGCGGTGGTGGCGGTGGTGGCGGTGGTGGCGGTGGTGGCGGTGGTGGCGGTGGTGGTGGTNTGGTGGCGGTGGTGGTGGTAGTATATAATGTCATGATAATATTATTACCATCATAAGAATTGATGATTTTTCGTTGGCGAACAGAAGAACGACATCAGCTTCTGAGGCAGCCAGTTCCTTCATGATTCTCTCACAGGAACACTCATTCTTATGAACGTTGATCTCGTCATGCTTAATTTGTATGTAAACTGACGTATAGTCCTTGTTGGCTGTCAAAGTTTTGAAGAAGAATGCTTCGTAGAACCTCGAAGCTGCGGACACAACAAAAGAGTATAACCAGTGTCTAGATTAGGCAACAGCAGCAAAAGCAAGATAGGGAAAGAAAGGTGACTAGAAAACGACAGAAATAGCCAGTTGACATGGATGACAAGATGACAAGATGGTACGTAACTGGCATTGCTACGATGGCCAGAAGAAGATCATAATAAGAGAGGACATGGACGAGCTGACAAGGAAATAAAAGATAATGGCCAAGAAAGATGACATGGGGAAGATGACGGTCCAGGACAACATATATGGCACTGACAACTGAGATAGTAACAGAGAATTGCTATAGTGAGAGAATGTGAACAAAGCAAATGAACGAGACGCATATCAAGCTTTACTCTATATGTTAGTGTCGAAGTTGGAGTAGAGAAAGCTCACTCCATATACGGTATGATCAATTCCATATTTGGATTGTGCGGAAAAGGTGCAAAAAAGGCTGTCGTTTTATAACGAATTCAACATGAACATTTTTGAACATTATGAAGAAGAAAAGAAAAAAAAAAGACAAGTAAAAAAAAAGAAAAACTTTGGAAAATCGAGGAAGGATACAGGGACGACGCTAACTCGTGGGTCTGTCTCGCAGACAACAGACACAGGGAAATACGACACTCAATATTTGAATGTATGGACAATAATAAACAGCAGGGAAGCAAACATGGCAAGAAAGATCTGGTAAATGACGGTACCGTAGAATCCCAGTTATAAATTACATCTCCCATATGAACAAGAAGATTGAAAGTAATGATACGTACCCTCAACCATCAAAGCAATCTTCTTCCACTGAAAGGCATCCAGGATTTGAACAGTCGCCTGCGAATAGCTATCGTAATCCGCTGACATGATGATCGCATTACAAGCTTCTCTTATCTTGTAGTTTCCGCTGCCATGGAGACGAATTATCGGTATCTTAGTAATGGTGCTTACTTCACATGCAGAATGAGGTAAGGTGTTAAAGTCCAACAAGGCGATGACGTCACTACTGACGAGAGAAGAGGCTGAAACAAGATCACAGACATTGAGACGAGTTAAGCACTACCGTACTCCGGTAAAAATGATTTGCAATTTAGGTCATCCTCACACATAAGCTGTACAACAGTGCTTTTAATTTGCACTAAAAAGTTTAAAATAGTGCAACGTCTATTTGTTTTGCATTATTTCATCAGTGCTATTTAGTAGCAAATTAGTGGCAGTGATGTAGTATTGAAGAAATAGAAAACGCGCGCGCGTGCTTTGTGCAGTCATAAAGCACGTGGGGGTTGGCAGAACACGAGAGAAGTGTTAGGAGAAGCACGACGCGTAGCGGAGTGCTTCTCGACACTCCTCGAGTATTCTGCCAATCCCCAAGTGCTTTATAACTGCACACAGTCCAGCAAGCAATCTTTTTTATTTCTTTTATAAAATGCAAAGGGCGCGTGCTTGCTGTGTGCTCTCATAAAGCACGCGCTCCCGACCAATCAGAATGCGAGATTTATAACAGTTACTTTATAATGTTTCATATTTTTAGAGTTTAAACTTCCCATGGAGTAATAAAACAAACTTAATGGGAAGCTCTACTAAGTACCCTATACTCACAGTACGTATATAGGTCTGATTTCTGCGAAGTGTTTCGTATTTGTAGGGTAAAAGAGGAACCATTGGCTACTAGTTGAGAGTTGATGTCATCAACAGCCTGTTTTGCTGCATCCCTTTCGTCTCTTGTAGTCGTATTCAGCAGCTCTGCCAAAAAGTTCGAATATTCCATATTAATCAATTCATGGTTCCGACTCATGCAGACAATAGCAAACCAATCGACGTTCCAGAATTTTTTCCAGGGGAATTAAAATCTTGTCTCACAAACAACTACACAGTATCTGTTTTAAAGAGTACTACAAGGATTACAAGGCAATTTTTCTATTCTTTTCACAGGACAGTAAAGTATTGAAACAATTTATAAAAGTTTTAAATTCTGAGATATTCTAGATAATTCGCTAAGCTTGTGGGAAGTAGAAACGGTAAAGGGGAGACAGAAACATCAATTATGGATGAATCGTTAAAACTGAACTAATAATTTCATCTCTGAATGATTTACGTTTCCTAATTAATTTTCGGGTCCCCTACTTTCTTACCTAATAAAAAGTTCTTGCCTTTTGCATTGTTTATCGCTAGGAGTATTATCAATATCAGGCACAGCTCCACGGATGTTCGTCTTCTCATCGCTTTATTGAGGCTTGATTCGTGGATGATATGAGTCTGATTAATTAAAATACTATATTTCTTTCTTGTTACAGCTGACAAGGGATTGCTTTAATTATACTTCTATCCAAGGATTTGCCAGGAGGTTCCCCTAGGTATTGAATATAACGACAATTTCTGTTAATAAAAATTGCAAAAAGGTTGAATAAATGCATCAAATGTTACACACAGTTTGAGGAAGGTTTTATGGGATCCTTTTTGACGTTTAAAATGTGACAATGAACGAAAATGATTTCTTGTTGGGGATACTGGGGTTTTTTAAAGTGCCTATCACCCTTCTGACAATATTCACCGTATTAATTCTACATGGGGTAAGATGTTGAATAGCACTAAAAAAATGTATAGTTTAAGTGCAGCTTCTTGAAGTTACAAAGGTTTTTCCATGCCATATATATTATATTTCTTTACCGAATTTAGATCTAGGAGATAAGAAATTGATGAAAAATAGAAGGCCAAATTCAATAATTTGCTTATTAAGCTCTTTTAAAACTCAATAATTTTGAAAAGCGATTATTATTTGGTATATTTTGCATTCCTAACTTTTAGGGCTTGAACTTGGCTATATACACCTAATTCAAAAAACGTTGTCATCGCCAAAGGCGATAGGCAATAGGAGATAGGCGAAAAGCGATAGGACATATGTCTTTTCAAGATCCAAGTATAGCTGTTACATTTAGGAATTGAATGTATAAGTTGTGAAGACAGTCAGTTAGGACTGAAAATTTAGGAATTAAATTTGTAAAAATCGATTGCCAATCAGAGTGACCACAGTAAATCCGTGAAACTTTAGTAATACTAAATAGCACAATTTCATGCAAATTCCATTGTTTTCTATTGTTTAACTAGCACTATTTTGTACTATTTAGTAATTAGTGTTTCACGGATTTACTGTGGTCATTTTAACTATGGATTAGTATAAGCCTTTTCATAGTTTAAGAATCGATTCCACTGAGCATGCGATTTTATCCCGAATTTCTACCTTCTTTTTTCTAAACTTTCTTTTGTTCTTAATTAAACAAAAGAAGGTGAGAAATTCGGGATAAAATCGCATGTGCAGTGGAATCGATTCTTAAACTATGAAAATGCTTATTGCAGCAACTCAAGACAGCCGTATGTCAAAGTCACCGTTCATGACAATGAATTAGGTTTTACATAGAAATAATTAGCAAGTAAGCTCAGCTTTTCCTCAACATCATGATCTCATGAAAAACCTAAATAAACATTAGTTTAACTTAAATCTTAAAAAATCTTGTATTCTCTTACATAAAAATTGGACAAAAATGACATCGTTAAAAATAAACAAATCTTAACTAGCGGGTATAAATGTACTCAGTATCAAGTGTGTTGTTCTAAGGATAGCACATAAAATAATATAAATGAAAAATTCAACATCGTGGATTAAAATAATGATAATAGTACGACTTCGGACCAAAACGAAGGCGGTGTCAGTGGATCGAAATTTAAAGAAAGTATCGTTTTCCTCTACGGTGTTATCCAATGCATTTATCATTATTTGTAACCAAATTAAAAATATCTTGTTATGCCACCTGTACCTACCTTACACTCGCGAAACTTGTCGACTAAATAGTTAGAGATCAGAAATCTAACGCCTTCAATGTTTTTATAACTTCACAACTGGGAGAAAGTATATTGGGGAATTACATATTCGCAAATGAATGCTCTCTTTCTTTCTCTCAACGCATCTTACTCAGGGATTTTTCTAATGAATTATCAATGAGAATCAATTTCCATTTGAATAGAGAAGAAATTACTTATTTGACAAATAAATGAGTAAACATTGGCTTAATGTTTTTATAGGCTGCAATCGATAAATGTTTTGCCGTTTCTAATGTCAATTTTCTCCTACCCTGCGAGCAGAGTCTCCTTTTACCTGTAAAAGGAGACTCTGTTCGCAGGGTGATTTTCTCCCAGCTGAATGCGAAGTTCTATAACATGGATTATCAAGAGTACGAAAGGCAGTGTTTTCTTTTCATTGTAGATAGGCTGGTAATGACATTCATTCTAACTGATTGATACCCAGAAATTCTCGAACTTTGCTTACCACATGCCCTATTTCACTATGACGTCACTGCTTGTTTATGTGGGGGATAGAATCGCCAAAACCAATAGAAAATTCAACAAAATTTGCTCCTAGCGAAACAGTTTAATCTAGAATAGCCTGGTTTTCAGATATAATATGTGTTAATATGTACTAAAAAATATTCTGAGCGTTTGCTGGCTATTCTACTTCTCTTCGTGGATTGATAAGGGTTTATAACAATTTTCGGTTAGTTTGCGTTGATTTGATCCCGTCGTTCTTTGCGTTTAAATAATAGATTGTTTTGATGTAACGTCATAGTGAAATAGGGCAATTACATTACTTGCTATGTTTGATCCTAAAAACGGCGAGCTTAATTAGGAGCCCAACTTTCTTGTTATTGTCGACTTTGAAGATGAATTAATTTGCACCACTGATTCATGATTGTTCCCGATTGTTCTATCGAATTTTGAAATATAAACCCCAATGTCGCAGTATGAAATAAGAGAAGGCCAATGATAATTGGTTTGCAAAACACATATCCGTGAAATATCTTTTGTTTTCACTTGTATCATTGCGGTTCTATTTTGTGGTAATTATTTGGTATTCCATGGATATATGGTTTGCACTCTAACTGACAAATAACATAAAATTAGTAGCTAACAGTTAGCTGATTTTTTTTATTATCTTGGTTAATATTATGATCAGGGCTTGAAAAATTATTAACACTTAACGTGATAAATTAGTAGTTAACTGACAATCGGGTACCCTCATACACATCTTCAAATAAGCATCAGTATGAATGCTCACAATCTTACATAAGCCAATAGCTTGCATGTGTCGATAAATATAGGCCACAATCGTTAAAATTCTGGCACAATATCGAGTCTAGCCTTACGGAATAAAGTGCTGCAGGTTCGATTATAACGTTGTTGGGGAATGAACTGACTAGCATTTATACGAAAATGTTATTACTATAGCGCGAAAGATAGCAAGGGCGGATCCAGGGGGAGGGTCGGGGGAGTCGCGACCCCCCTGTCATTCCTGAGGTCAAATGGGCTTCTTGTGGTAAAAATGCGACTGGGATTCCTTTGCCCACAAAATTTACCCCTGAGACTCCCCCTTCAAAAAACCCTGGATCCGCCCTTGGATAGGAACGTCGTATATGATACATTAAGTTACTTATTCCTACCAATAAATGTATTCGGTGATCCACATGTTTGTACGTACATGAAGTATTAGACGACTAAAGCCTTGCAATCTATTCTGAAATTTAAAATATCGAACATATTTGCCGTTATATATATCACTAAGCTGGAAGTACCTATATCTCCCTTGATGGGGATTCTACTTTTTTCCCTTATCCATTTTGAATTTAACGTTTGTTTAATTCAAAGGCAAAATAAACAAAAAATTACGAAAAGTTTGACATCTTCAGTTTTATTACAAAAAGATTCTATTTACAACTAGATGAAGTTTTCTTTGGCTTTTCTTTGTCATTTTACTTGGATTAATTTTTTTTTTCTTTCATCCTTCATAAATATTCCAACCATCCTCAAATAAATTATTGCTCGAAAATGCGACGAAAAAATATATCTTCCCAAGGCATCAAAATTAACCAGAACCAAAGCCACCATTTGGGTCGTGGTCCAGTTTTCAAAACAAGTGGTTCTGCTTTTTCTATTTACTTATGTAATGAATATTTTTTACTGACAAGGGAGGAAAATGGTTCTGATGGTTAAAAAATGTACGGTTCAAACCGGACCAACCGGTACTAGAGTCTTCGGCCCTGTCGACTTCGGCCCTGTCATCTTTCCGCTCGTTTAGTCGTTGCTAAATGTATCAGGAATTTTCATCCTTTTTCTTCATCTACTTCAGCCGCTTGATTGACTCTGCCCATATGCAAGTCGTTATTCCTGAAATAAATAAATAAATAAATAAAACTTTATAAACAAAATGTAGATAAACTATTTTTCAATGAATGGCCAATCTCGTACCCAGAGCCTTTATTTATTTCGTTGAGCATGCGCAGTAAGAAACAAAGGCTCTGTGTGCGAGATTGGATGAATGGCTTGGTTGCAACACGCAAAAATACGACCACGTTTAACGTATTCTCATACTTCTATGCACAGGCTTCTTGTTGCCAAACGAGCTTTTGCACCCCTCATTTGGTGGTATCAACCAGCTTTGCATCGAAATGTGTCGTTAACGTACGAAAGCCCTTGCATAGAAGTATGAAAATACAATAAATATGAACATACTTTTGCGCGTATTGCGCTTGAGATGATGTAAACATTGTCCAACGTTTGAATAAACAAAAGGATTTTTTATCCTTTTTGTGTCATTGCTCGTTTTTTGCATACTTTCGCGCAATGTGTTATGTTTCTAATCGTGCATTTTCCTTCATTCATTTGTGATTCATCCGATGTGTCATTGTTTAGAAGTTCATAATTAGTATTGGTCGCCAGCTCATTATCTTTCGAACGTCGACGTATTTAGCAAGAGCTTCGTTTACATGGCTTTATTCCGTCGATTTCTAGCTGCTGTATGCTTCTAATGGTAAGTATAAGGTTGTCGTATGAACTGATAGAAAATGCTTTATGTGATAAGCAACTTTTAATTCGACTTGCCAAATAAATGCACTCATTTTTTATTCGATTTTATCAAGTTTATCCAAGTCACTACTTGGTTGTGTGACCATATTTTTGCAAGAAACCATGATATATGACCATTATACAAATGCATATATATATGATTGCTGCATTTCAAGATGAGAGAAGTGGTTTAATAATGTAGTTTTGAATTCAGAACATTCGCAAATACAAACAACATGAAAATGTCTACGTACGTAGTAACACTTATCTGAGATATGATACACMTAGTAGTTCAGCAGGTGGGTAGGTATGTAGGGGGAAAGAGAGTGATTGAGCTAGTAAATTGATGGGTCAGTAGCTGGTAGTGGAGTGCTAGTGGAGCGGATGGCTTAGTAGGTGGTTAGGTGCGTATAGGCAGAGAAGGTGAAAGCTAGTTCGGAGAGTGGATGAGTGAGTTGGTAGGTGAGTAGGTACCGTAGGTGGGTAAGTAGATGGCTTGGTAGATCAGTAGGTATGTACCTTCGGAACCATTTTCCCGTAAAACCTAGAGAAACTTTCCAATTGGGTAATAATTCTACTTTCTCCCTTATTCTTGCACCATTATTATACCAGTAGATTTCTAAGGCTAGTACTATGACTGAAACTAGGCACCCAACAGCTAAAACAGCAAACACACCAGCCATGCTGGACAACTGAATKGTACTGCGAGTTATTTCTGGAAAAAAAAGACAACAGTATTTGAATAAGTCGTCATAGAGTTAAAAAAGAACGATCACAATTCAAGGAACTTTTTTTCTGTTGATGTATTTTTCAAAAATCTTCAAATACCCAGATACTTTTAAGGTGATGACAGCCATGACAAGAGACAGGAACAACTGAATCTGATTTACGTCTATTGTTGTGCCTCCTGTTATGGCTGCCATGACGTGATCTTGCAAAGCCATTATATTTACTTTAGTATGGTTTCTTTGTTCACTGGATAATGATTCGCGACGTCTCATATTAGCAATTCCAGTATTTTAGGGCTGTTTGTTTTAGTTGACATATTTCCAAGATGGCGTCTATTTTGTCCCCTAAGACAGCCCCAAAATGCAACGCAATGCCAACTCGATCCAGTTTTTTCCCTCAATATCGATATGCTAACAGTTAGTGCTACGAAACGGCGCTTCTTCGGAGTGTTTGATATGAGAAAAATACGTTGAAAATCTAATGTATAAAAATACTACTTACTTTGGTTATTATTCGTATTACACTTGCTATTACTGTCCCAGTATTTTCTTTTCAACGCGTCAATGAAGCCAGTGTCTCGAAGGTGTAGGATGCCTAATGATATTTGTTGTAGATGGGGATCGTCCGTCTTTAGAGCAATACCGTAGCTCTTGGGGGTCTCCAGCCCTGGAACTACACACACACACAAGAAAAAAGTTTTTGCTTTTCAAATTTACAAAATTCTGACATTTTTATGTTTTTTTCCGAGGGAATTTATTACTGTATGCAAGAAAGGGCCCTTTAGGTCTATGTAGGAGTCCATGTAGATTCCTTTATCCCTGTTGGCTTTAAAAATAATTGTTTCTCTAAATCTATATACTCTTTACCTTGGGCGTAATGTAATGGGGGTCTCTAGTCCTGGAACTACGCAAACCCGCAAAAAATACGTTTTTACTTCTGAAATTTTATAAAGTTCTGACATTTTTACGCGATTTTTGTTTACTGGAGAGAATTGGTTACTGCAAGAAAGGGTCCTTTAGGTCTCTATAAGTCCATATATAGATTCCTTTTGCCCTTTATGCCTTAAAAATAATTGTTCTACGTTTTTCTAATGTTTTTTTTCTTCCACTGCAGACCACGTGTCATTTTCTAGAGTATTATTTCTTTGTTTGATAGTTACGCATGAGGGGTAGAAGACAAAAGAAAATGGATAGGACTCAAACAGACAATCTTATTCTCAGAGAGAATGACACGTGGTCTGAAATGGAAAAACATTAGTCTTAGGGTGCATGTTACGTCATAGCCGCCATGTTAATTGACTATACAAAGCATTCCTCATAGAGTTTTTGCACCACCACGTGACGGCAGCCATAATAGATGGCAGAAACAATACATCAACAAATCGTTTTAAATGGGAGAGCAAAGGGATTTTATTGTTCTGCCATCTAACCACAGGCAGCCCAAGCGGCACGTGATGGTGCAAAGCCTCTATTAAGCTTCTTTTGTTAGATCAGCCAACATGGCGACTATTTCACTTTTATTTATATCTCAAGGGATTTTTTGGTCACGTGCTTGTACTCCAAGTATACCCAAAGAGGTTTATTCTAAGCAAGTGAACGAAAACATTGTCTTACTTATTATAAGATCACACGGTGGTTTGTTGATCTCATACTCCAGTAGCGGTCCATTTGCAATATGGATGTACTGACGTTCCCTCGCCCATTGGATTCCAGTGGGATTATCTTTAGGAATGTTCTTCATTAGTCTCCAGGCTCTTTGATAGAGCTCCACCTGAGAGGTCGAAAAAAACGTGTACAAATGGGATTTTCTTGAAAGACCCATTTCGTATTCGGTAGAATCGACTGCTTGTTGGAAGCTTGTTATTGGAAAGACCAAGTTGTTGACGGTAAAAAATGCTGCCAGATTCGCTGTATACGTTGATATCCAGAGGAGGATTGAAAACCAGAAGAAGCCAACTAGTACACGACCTGAACATATTATAAAAACATGTTAGGAGGTAAGTTATGGGATTATTTTTTCTTTTGCTGCTCGAGGTAGTTTTTGATGGTCTTGCAATTTTATTTGTTGCTGCAAGTAAGGGAATGTAGAAACATCAACTCCATCACTTACCTGAGAAGGCTTTGRGCAAATGTTCCGCTCCTTGTTGCAACATACATGCAATTGAGAACCAGAAACAGTTGAAAAACYGAAACTCCTCAGATGTCTTCCTTCCTTCATCATTTTTGTGTCCATACGGACTGAAATAGTTTATGAGAAACAACGCCAACGAGACCACAAGAAAACTTAAGAAAAGCGTCCCCCATACCCCTTCTGTGAAGGGAGCCATGAACTGAAAATAGTTTATGTGTTCTATTGGTGTTTTTCGCATCACCATATTTTCTCTGTAGTACATGTAGCTTACGGTGAAGTCTACCGCTTTTTCACGTTCTCCGGTTATGGTGATGTCTGCTACAATCATGTCCGCCTCCTTTGGGATGAAGCAAAATAACAGAAAATTTAATGAGCTGCATTACGTTAGCCTTCTATGGGAAGAACCAAAATAGCAGACGATGCAATAGGACACTTGCATTATGGCGTCATTTACCACTACCGAAATCCCAGCTAATTAGCAATTGTCTTACTATTCGATCTTATTTTATTTTATTTCATTAAATTTACAACCAATGCAAGTAAGCATAAACGCGAATGATACATACCACAATGGCATAAATAGATGAACAAAAGAATCAAAATATAAACTACACGCTGCCACATTGGTTGAAGGACTGAACAACAGAACATGGGTCGCATACGAAGATCAATGAGGGAATACAAATTTGATAAGAAAGAAAGTTCGCAAAGCTGCAAACATAACGGCCTCTGATAAAAAAATCAAACAAAAATACGATGCACTAATACGTATTGTGATTGATATTGTGATTGGCTGCAAATATATTATTCTTCGATGAAAAAAAAACCCACAAAATAACAGACGATGCAATATGTATAATGATAATCTGCACTCTTGTCAACCTTCTATGGAAAGACGATGAAGCTCTTAGCAATGGTTACTATGGTTTCAAACCATTTCTCAAGCTGAATTTAAATATCCTTCAGCATTGAGACCTGAACAAGACAACTAAACGGCTTTCCATATTTAGAAGACGTTACTATAGTAACTATATAGAGCGGTTTTAAGACCGTCATAACGCACAGGAAGCCCAACAGGTACTCACTCCGTCTATTATTTCTCGTATCATGCCATTCCACGAACCATTGTGTATGGAACCATACTGGTGATCAGGTGGTTCGTGAATATCGTAAGTGAACTTCAAATCAGCTGCCAGTTTTTGTAGCAAATCTATACAGAATCCAGTGTAATTAATCGTGCCATCGGGGAGCATGGTCTTAAATACAAAAGGCTCAATCTGTAGAAAATATTCAAATTGACAATCATTATTCCAGTCCCTAAAAATATTTTAGAGCTTACACTTCATAGCTAGCCTGCGTTATTTGGTTGTCTGCAGTTGTTGTGTGAAAAAATCCTGGTGCGAGGGATAACTTTGGTGGCTTACTTCCCAACAGGGAGGACACCGTAAGGGGTAACCAATTATAGAGCAGGTGTATGTTACGTCATTGCCACCATCTTGCATTAATCATTAAGCTTCTCTTGTTAGATCAACCAAGATTGCGGCTGCTTCATTGTTGTTTATATCCCAAGTGGTTTTGAGTCATGTGGTTGCACACACTCTAAAGAGCATTGAGTTTGTAATTATCACTGTGTTCTTTGACTCATTTACTCAGGCTTAGCTTCGTATCAGTGTCTAAATATCCAGAAATATTAACGGTAAAGTAAAGAATGCACAACTTGATCAATACAAATACTTTGAAATTCCACGAAACTTGTCTGGAACACGTGAATATTCTTCACAAAATTGAGGCTAAGTATTAAGCGAAAAGTTCACCACACCCTACCTTAATTCATGTGCGGCCAATATCAGGGACGGATCTAGAGGACTGGTGTAGGGGTGCGCACTGTGTTATTACGTTACATGTATCATAACAATAATCATATTCAATCCAATAAACCAATCATAACCGAAATTTATTCAGACCATGCTATCCGTTTGCGTCGCCATTTGTTGGGACTTTTGAAAGCCATCCGAAACCTTTTCTATCAGAATTTCTAAAGATGTTTCATTGTTGAGATAATAATAAAAGACGCCAATCAAAGAGCCGTTCAAGAGATATCAGACGCAACCTACCGCCATGGTCGTGACGGACAGTCTCCTTCCCTGTAGAGTTGCAGGGTTSTTTTTCTGCTCGACATTTTGTTTTATTTCTCCATCGAGTCGAAGTTTAGAAGAGTTCTTGGACCATGTTCCAATCTAAATATGATAAGTTGTATCAGTACAAGATATGGATAGCGAAAGCAAATTATAAAGTAGTAGAGTTGAAAACATATGGTAAAAAAAGTAATCTAAAAAAGGAGAAGAAAGTGACGAGATCATTAGAAAAATTAAAGAAAAATTTTAGAAACGTTTGAGCTGTTTTTCTAGAACGCTTTCAGCATTAATTTGGATGCGCGCGCGCCTAACAGATAAATACATCGGAAATCACTCTTTTTCCAGTTGGAATCGATTTGAGATATTTATTTCGCATTTTCCTGTTAGCATGGCATCGAAGATAATTGTGAAGGGAGTCTACGTTTCTTCGATCACCACAACTTTTCCACGGAGTTAGTTTTATTCTCCTAACGAATGCAATATACAGCGAATCGAAAAATGGCGGCCATTTTGAATAATTATAGCTATATATAGCCTCTCATACATGTGAAAACGCTTCCATGTGAACACGAAGCTAGTCAGTGAAACAAAAACATGAAAGCATAGTATTTAAAAATCAATCGCCGAAGGCGAAGTGATTATCGGTGGAATATCMCCATAATCACTGAGTCTGAGGGGAATAATTGCTTTAGTATAATTTTAGACTTAAATATCAGAGAAATTCAGAATTTAAAAAAAACACATTTTAGTATTACTTCCGATCTGGAAAACTTTGGAAAACCTCATATTCACCGCTCCAGCTGTGATTATCGTCTCAGAATTACCGGTCGCTCGACCAATCACAGACCGAGAAATCTATATTCAAATAAAATTATACTAATATTTTATTAACAAGCTCGTTGTGCTAGCATTAGGTAAACTGAAGGTGATAATTAACCAATTAAAGTCCAGATAATTAATTATATCTAGATGATTATAGTTAGGTAATTAAAGTGCTTCCCTTGACCAGTAATTAAGAAATTAAAGCTACAAGGTTCTCTAGGTTCTTGAAACACGAAAACGCTCAGACGTAGAAGAATATTTTCATTTATAACAATTTGTTAATTTCTTACCTTAACAAAGACGTCGTTTCTCAAATTTACAATAGTCAACTGCTGTACAAGCCTTTCGCCTTTCTTGTTAAACTTGACCAGACCTGTCTTTCCAGTGATCGTTGTCTGAAAATTAGCAATGTAATAGACCTCTTTACCTTGGCCGTCATGTTTTTTCATTACAGATCACGTGTCATTCTCGAGTATAATTTCATTTGTTTGAGTTGTTTCTATATTCAAGTGTCTTCTCATGCACAACCGTCAAACAAAGAAATCTATACACCGAATGGAAATATGGCGGCCAATTTGAATAACTATTGCGACTGACTAGCCTATCATACATGTGAAAAAGCTTGTATGTCTCCACGTTGACACGAGGCTAGCCAGTCGCTAGTCAGTGCAGACAGGAAAGTTATCCCAATTGGTCGTCATATTCCGATTCGGTGTATGGAATATCACGGTGTCTGAAATGGGAAAACATTACACACAAGCTAAAGAAGTCTATTGTTTGAAATAATATAACTAATATTCTACCTTGATTGCCTTTTCATACAATCTTTTTCTGTTCAACAGTAGAGAAGAAGTACTGTTGCCTGGCAACCAGATCCCAGAACCTAGTAACCTATCCATTGCCATGGAAACCACAGATGTTGTATCGGAGATGAGATTGATACTGTCCTAAAAAAAGTAAGGAAAACTGAGCTCGAGTAAAAGAAACACATTTGCGAATCCACATGAAGATGAAGGATTAGCCATTCCTAGGTTAAAAAAACTGGGTTGACAAATGTTGTGGGACTGTTTTGGCGGAATCATTCCCAAGATGGCGTCTAATTCGTCCCCTAAAACACTCCCACAATGCACTGCAATTAATGTCAACTCGACCCAGTTCTCCCCTAAATCTTGGAACGATTAATACTTGCGTGGAACCAAAATTTGATTTAAAGAAATAATGTAGCATAGCTTACCTGAAAAAGCGAGGTGTTCTTTGATGGCAATGAGCTCTGTTCCCGCGGGAGGTGAAAACCAACTGTCATGTGATCTGGGTGGGACTTTATGTAGTCGGAGATCTAACAAAATTAATGAAAAGTGGCATCATCTTAGAGCTAATTAAAGGCAGGGTGTGGCTAACTTATTGTTGGATTGGAAATTAAAATGTTGGGTTGAAGGGAAGAAAACAGCAGAGCCGAAAGAAAATTTCAGTGGAACTAGGAAGAGCCCCGACAATCGCTATACTCAAGCGTAGTTCCGAGGTCAGGATTCGAACCGTATGCTCAAAATGCATGATGTATGCAGATGCACAATAATAATTGATAAACTGCCCTTAATACCTAATAAGCATTTCAAACTAGACCCCTGTAGCTTGGATATGATACTATCCCATTTCAGCCGCGACCACGTGTCATTCCCTTAAGATTAAGAATCTTTGAGTTATTTATGTCTTCTTATGGGCAATTGAAAAGACTTGACACTCAAGAGAATGACACGTGGTCTGGAATGAGAAAATATTACGACAAGAATTCTGTTGATTCTTTTTACCTCTGGTAAAATCTACCTTAAAGCTATCCTATCCATAGTTACATGACATTATCCCCAGCATGCAAGTGTCTCAAAAATTATAAGTGGTATTGTTGCAAAAAAAAAAAAAATAATAAGGCGTTGCTTACCGATTCCTGTATTATCCAAACATACGACTTTTTTGGATTGCACGCTTCCTGTCAAGTAAAAAAACCACAATAGATTAATACTTGCCTTTGCTGAGATTCCTATGAAGATCAAGATCGGTAAATGTTTTTGAAATATATAAAGGCTTTGCACCATCACATGATGGCAGACAGTAGGCAGGAACAATTGAATCTGGTCAAATCTGATCATTTACAAGAGAAATAATTCACAGGGCCAAAGACTCTAGTGTGGTGCCTCCTGTCATGGCTGCCATCACGTGAAGGTGCCAAAGCACTATTCCCATGTGAAAATTTAGAATAAATCATACTCAACAAATTTATTCTTACCATTGGAAGGAGCACTGATTTGTAACTGTCTCTGACGTAAAGTAGAATAACATCCACGTCAGAAGCAGCAAGTGTTTTCATGACTTTGTTCGCCATAGCAAAGGATGTCTTGTTGGCTTCGTCCTTCATTTGGATGTACGTTATTTCGTAATCCTTGTTGACTGATAGAGACTGGAAGTAGACTGTTTGGTAGAACCGATGACCTGGTGGAAAGCAGTTAACACATGTGAGTAGGTATTACTAGATGTACTTTTCTATTGACTAGAGAGAGGGAAAGAGAGTGTGAGGGGGAGAGGGAGAGAGGGAGGGAGAGAGAGGGAGAGAGAGGGAGAGAGAGGGAAAGGGATGGAGAGAGACAGAGAGAGAGAGAGAGAGAGAGAGCGAGTATGGCTAGAGGCAGATCAGTGCGCTATATTTAATCGCAAAATTGTCATAGCTCAATCCTTCAAACCTGCACAATTTATCAATACCCTGAAGTAGCCTCTTGGCCGATCAAAAGTTAGGGCACGACTTACTATGCGATCCACGATGTTACGTTTTGCGGAGAGAGGACTTGAAAACCGGTTAACCAGGAAGAAAAGTCAGGACCTTTCGTAATGTGGATACAGGTCAATTAGCCACGCGGATGTTATGTGGTTGTAAAATGCGTGATATGATCTCTGACCTACCTCTGATGTATGGCAGTGAAATGAAGGCTTTTGGTGTATTAGCCTTGTCATCAGGGTTATTTTTTGGCTCATCGAATCCACAGTACGAAAGGTCCTGACTAAGGTCAAAGATCGTGACAGCCCAAACGATCGAGTCGGTGCTATCTATATGATTTCATGTAATAATTGTGAAGCAACATATATTGGTGAGACGGGTAGATCGTTTAATATCAGACGTAAAGAAAATCAAAGTGCTGTTGAAAAACAGAATGATCATAATAACATTGCCAGGCATCATACCATGCGATAAACTGGGAATCCAGTGAATGCCTTATGGCTTATGAGAAACGATAACTTCGCTCACAATACCGAAACAGCGGCGCGCACTCATTAGACCGACGCCGTCAATTACGCAAATCCAGGTAATTAGGCTATATTGTTATCGTGGCAGTATAAATATGACCAATCTGACTTTATTCTTCACTTGACTCTGAAGATGACTTCCGCTCAGGTTGTCGAAACGTCAGTCACATCAAACAGTCCTTCTCAGGACTACATCCACCCGGATGATTATAACACTTCGATTAACATTCATTCACCTGGGTTCAGACCGTTCTATACAATACCAGCAATAAAACCTTAGACCGCATAGGTGAGAGGCAAGTTTAACTACTGCGAGCACCCTTGATTGCCTAATCTTGAGCTATTATTGAAACTAATACAGCTCTTACCTTCGAATATCAAAGCGATCTTTCTCCATTGAAATGATCCCAGTATTTGAACTGTTGCTTCGGCATAGCTAAAGTAGTCAGCCGACATTGTGATCAAGTTTTCAGAAAACCCTAAGTGATCCACTTTGGCGGTTTTCTGGTCGTGAAGGCGAAATAATGGAATCCCAGAAATGCTACTGAGAATGCACTCTTCCAGGGGATCTGGGTCCAAGCTAAATATACCAATGACGTCACTCTTAAGCAGAGAGTAACCTGAAAAATGACACAAACTGTTACTTTTTTAAAAYCAAAACTATTCTCCCCCACATCAGTTTTCTTTATTGTTTCCTGAGGAACGAAACTGGAGACCATTTTGGAAAACATATTCTGCGTTACCATTGGTGTTTTGCACCAACACGTGATGGCAGCCATGTTTGATGGCAGGAACAATAAATAGTAGTAGGATAAAAAAACTCAATTTCTGACACAAAAGGATTCTATTGTTATACCATCTAACATTCCTTCCGGCACGTGATGGTGCAAATCTCTATTAAGGAAATGAGGTTTGCAAAAATGAAGCTTGTCGCCATGTTAGCTCTGATGATGCTTAAATATGGGGTAAAACATTCTTTAGGGAATCGCTGGTTGACTTTAAGTGTTTGGTACTGATATTTCCAAAGAATATAAAAAGGACAGCTATGTTTTGGATGATGTGCGCTGATATATATAGAGGCTTTCCATCATCACGTGATGGCAACCATGACAGAAAGCACCAACAGTTGAAACTGGTCTAATCAGTGATTTACATGAGAAAGAATTCAGCAGGTTTGCCCCAGGAGAAAAATTGGCAGCCACGATGACTAATTATATTTACTAATCTAGGTTTCTATTCATTTCTAGCAAGGGAATAAAATTGGTATTCATTTGGATAACATTCACTATGAAGCTAATCTGTCCAAGTGATTGGCTTCTTAGGCCCCGTCCACACGTATCCGGAAATTTTTGTACCCGCAATTTTTTTTTTTACGGATACGGGTTGCGTCCACACGTGTCCGGAAATTTTTGTATCCGTATTCGCAAATTTTACGAAAACGGATACGTGTGGACGGTGAAAACGATTCGAATACGCTGCGTCTGGACGCAAACATTTTCGTATACGCAAAAAATAATTTGCGGATACAAAAATTTCTTGATACGTGTGGACGGGGCCTTATGACAAGATAGTAACTATACTAGGGATAACCTCAGGTTAGGAAGTGCGGGCGTAGAACATTGGTGGAAGGTATTCTTAATTTATTTGAGAGGCTTGAGTAGCTATTAATATATGGAGAGGCAGATGCAAGTGAGTATTTAGTGATTCAGTTGGCCTGCTAAAGAAGGTTATCCCTGTGGATCGAATTCCCTCTCGTACTCGTGAAAACCTGTTTGAGCACTGGCCTAATCCTGTAAGTCTGCATTCTTCGCATTCTTTACATTCCAGTTGGAAGTCGAAAACTCTGAAAAGCTGTCTAGTCTCTCGTTTTCCGCGGGCCCAGGCCCCTTGGCGTTTTCTCGTCAAGATTATGCTTGCGTGCTCCTCTTGTCGCCCGCAATAAAGCAATCATTTCTGACGGCAATAAAAGTCACTGGGTAGCCATGTTTCATGATATTATTATGTATAAAGGCAATCATTACTGACGGAATATAAGTAGCAGCCATGTTGGATAAATATTCAATATATTGTAGAAGGTACTCCGGTCCGTTTCAAGTGCGAACGGAATTGGCA